CGCGTGCAATCACAGCCATTTTTCATGACATCTGGCGCACCTGAAACCGGTAGGGATGAGTCCCTACAGTCGGCGGAATGTTCGTTAGCAGTCCACAAGCATGTCTACCATAAGGARTACGCCAAAAACAAACTRTTCCAGCCTTACAAATCGGACGTGACGACGGCGAAACTCAATCTGTRAACTATAATACTATGCCTATAATAATATAGCACATGCAAATATAATAATATTATTATTAAGTATTTACCTAGTAAGTATAAGTATATTATATAAGTAAATTATAAGCGTATAGTATGACTACCCGTTGCAACACTTTATTATTTGTTATTATAAACAACATTAAACTGCAGTTTAATACTATAATACCTATAATATTATGATATAATAAACAATTTAGGTACGTACTCTATTCGACACTATGCATATATTATTATCGTACTCTTCGGAACATTATTAAATTATTATTATATTATCACGTACAGGGTGTGTAAACATAGTCATAATAATACGTGCAATGTTTATGATATCAGTGGAGTCTGACCACACGCTCTAATTTTACCTGTAGGCTGTAATACAATAAATTATTAATCTAATAATATTATGGTATCCTTGAGTAACTATCGATATAATGTTATTGTTTCACTAAATCCTAAACTTCAAGGATAAGTACATAATTATTATTAAACACTAGGTCCGGTGTCAAAATCTTGACGGCCAAATATATATTCCATTAGATAGCATGACATAAAACAAAACTCTATCGTTCACCCCTTGAAAATGTCCCACCATCATGGCCTTCATCTATACAAGTATTTTATGCACTATGATCGTTTATTTTCGTGAACTTCCTTCGCGAAGTTTTCGTTTTTATACAGCTTGAATTCAAATTTGAATTAGACGACGTGTAATGAAAATTATTCACCTCACGACAACGTGGAATTTTCACACACGATAAACAATAAATAGTGAATATTTTATTTTATTTTTTTTTTTTTTTTTATGAAGGAATTATACATTTTCATAAGACCTGTGTGTCGTTTTTCAGATAGAATAACATTGTTTTTATGAAATAGATTAATATTGTTGCAGACTAAAAGTATTCACTACTAATTTTAAATCGTTCATTACCATAATTACAAATCTCATTATTTGAATACAAAATAAGTATATCATGTACCAATAGCATTGTAATGGCCACGTTTCTCAGTCCTCACCTCATACTGCCAGATTTAGAGATGTAAGCTCTCATACATTTATTCGTGAGGAACCCTGATTAATAATTAAGGCCCTTTTCAAATAGTCAAAGTTATGGTAGGTACCAGAGGTACCTATTTAGTACATTGTGGGGATCTCACGGGGCATGGGTATTTTCCTCTAATGTCGATTTAAGCTGCGAAAATATTATGTGACATAACTTAAAGAATTCAGCACACTCCTCGCTTCTCGGCAAGTCAACAAATATATGAATAACTAATTATTATTTATTTATTTATTTATTCATCCTTGTACTTCATGCATTAAAAATATATTTGACATGAAACACAACTATAATATATATCTACCTAATTTARATGTTAATATTTCATATTTCATGCCATATTTTCCCATTCATTCATATTCTCCTATTATTTCATAATAATTACCAATCGATAATTTTAAATGCCGATAATACATTTATACCATTTTCTTTTGTTATTAACAACGATAGTKTGTATGAACGTATGAACATATGAACAACGGTAATAGTCCGACACATATACAGTTAGACAGCTAGTAACAATTTGTTAAAGCCCGCAGGGTCTAATGCTTGACCGTAAT